AATGCTTACACTAGCATAGAGTTTTATGAGAAGCTTGCTGAGCTATCGAATGTAAGTCCAACAATTCACTCATACCTTATGTCATTACCTTACAAGTGGTCAAGAAGCCAATTCATGATAGGGATTAACCATGCCGCCAATACTAACAATTGGGAAGCTTTCTTGGAAGGTTGAGGTGGAGGGCATACATTCAAGAATATTACAACCATGAAAGAACATCTAATAGTCCGTCAATCAAGTGTTTGGAAGGTTGAGGTGGAGGGCATACATTCAAGACATGTTGTTGATGTTGAAAAACGAGAATGCACCTGTAGGGTGTGGGACGTGACTGGACTTCCATGTATTCATGCCGTGGCGTTCATTGGCATGAAAGAACACCCACTGTGGCATTCATACATTGATGAACACTACTATGTGGCCAGGTAAAAATAAACTTCATTAAATTACTTAATATTGTTGACATGTTGCATAAGTAGAGTGTGACACAATCTACAGGTATAGAGTTGCATACGATGGAGCAATTGCCACACTACCTGGGAAAGCTCAGTGGAAAGTACTAGATGATCTTGTCCAAATTGGAGTGCCAAATTCATCTAGACCAAGGGGTAGGCCTCGAAAAAGAAGATTAATAAATTTCTTGGAGAAGGAGAAGAAAGCTCATAAATGTGGTAGATGTGGTTCTTGGGGGCATCATCGAAGTACTTGCAAGAACTCATTGCAAAAAATGAGCGACGAGGGCACAAATTCCACACAGTATGGCATCACGAGACGAGATAAGTTGGCAAGCAGACGGAATGTAGATAACAGTGGATTTGAAGAATTTGAATATTCATATCTTGATGGTTTATAAATGCATCCATGAAAAGGTTTTTGTATGAATCATTTTATTTTTGTATGAAGTTTTGGATTTTGTATGAAGTTCATTTTGTTCTACCCTCTTCTGCTTTGCTGATATAATTTCAGCAATGGCTTTCTGAAAAAACCATTGGCTTTATTGATATAATTTCAGCAATGCCTTTGCTGGTTTGAAAATGACTAGAGTTCAGTTATTAAGCAATGCATTTGATCTTGTGGTTTTGTTTATACTACAGCTTTGCTGGTTTGCTGGTTTGAAAATAGCTTTATTAGTCATACTCCAGCTTTTAATTTTCTACAGGTTATTACATCTTAAGAAGTGAGCTAATGGTTTTAACAGACAAAGAGTTCACTTGATCTTAAGAAGTGAGCGTTGTCTGTAGCAATGGCATTTGAATTGATATTAGGCATATGCAATTCCTTGAGGTCCTGACGGAAAATAATGCTAGCTTCCAGAACTAAAAAGCCAAAACAAAAACGAACAGAAAAAGCATGAATGCCGCAAGAAAGAAAACCTACGGAGCGGAGCAGATGGAAAACCGATGCAAACCGACGTCACGAGAGAAACTCCTTCTGCAAACGCACCCTGAATCACTTCCAACTACCGAGCAGGAGGGAGCGGATGCAACGGAGCACAGGAAGGGAAGAGCTCGCGATTTCGGGGTGATAACGTCGTGATCTAGATAAGGAACGGAGTGGTATATTTGAGGTTAAAATTGTGTTAGGGTGGTGTATATGAAATATTTATGTTTTAGGTGTTAAATATGTAAAATAGGTGTTATAAAGTGGTATGGCTGTAAAAAACCCTACAAAATATTAGCATCAATCGTTTACTAGATATGTAAGATATCAAACAAATGTTTACACGGTTCTTCTTAAATCTCAACAGCAATCAGAAGCAATCCAAAAGGCAGCTGCTTTAGGAAAACCATCATCTTTCCCAAAAACCTCCCGGTAAGAAGAATCTATAATGTGCCCGACGTGATACTAGCCCTAATCCCCAAATTCGCACATCAACAAACCATTAGATCGGTATCAAACAGCAAAAGTCAAATTTTTCCATTAAAAATATCACAAAGCTGAAACACAAAACATCCTAAAAGCTTAAAACAAAGGCATGAGCGAATCTGTTTTGATTCGTGAAGACCGAAGCAGAGGAGTATTAAGCCTTAACAAGAGAGGATAAGCAATTTTAAAACTCAAACTAACATAAACGCAAAGTTACCCGGTGAACAACCGAACGAATCTATGAGGAAGGCAGTCGAGCGTGCTGGCTGGATCAAAAGCGGAAGACTGTTCGTGAAACGGAAGAAGGAAGACGAATGAATCTACTTTGTGCTGAACGAATCTATCTTTGTAAGCGAAATGGAAGGAAGACACGAAGCTTGCGCCAGCGCCGCGACTTGCGAGCGAGAGCGAGAGCGAGAGGCAAGAGCGAAGCGGAAGAGTTTTAGGGCACGCGAGGACCGATCCGCCTGTATTTTTATTTTTCGTGGAGAGGGCACGTGCCCCCCGCGGGACCCGCTTAAATCCGCCGTTGCCGTTAGGCTGCTAGCGAACCAAACGTTGGAGGAACTACTCATTGTTTGGTTTAATTAAAGCTCTTATATGATCGTTTAATTAACTAAATAAATAAATTTGAACAATATTTTAAATATATCCTTAAATAAATAAGCTTGAACATTAATGTGTTCGACTCATTTATTTTCATGAACAACATCATTTAAAGCTCATGAACAAGCTTGACATTAGGCTCAATAAAAGCTCGATTCATGTTTGATTCATATACATGAGACATTACACATTTATCCATGATTGTTTGTTTAAAATATTCATGGACAAATATAAGATGAATCATACATCACTTGTTCGTGAACAAGCTCATTTGCTCATTTGGTAGCTTAAAAATACTAGTTATATATGTTATTGAATTTGCTCATTTGATAGCTCAAGAATACTCGTTAAATATGTTCATGAACGTGTTTGTTTGATATTTTAAAAAAATTCACTAAATATATTCGCGAATATGCTCGATGTAATTATTTGTTAGGAAGCTCGATAAAGCTTGTTTGTTAAGTTAATGAACATCTAGAAGGAGAGCTCGTTTATAATTCTTTAAGGCTTGTTTGTTTAAAGCTCAATAAGCACTAAAAGAATCGAATATGAACCGAACATGAACACTCATTAATTTAAACGAATCAAACATGAACACAAACAATAAAATCCGAATCAAACACAGAATTAAAATTGAACAAACTGATAATAAATGAACACTCGCATCCTCGCTGGGCCCTGTTTGTTTGCAGCCCTAAACCCATGGGCGGATCCACCACATGCTTAGGGTGGGCAAATGCCCACCATCAAAAAAAAAATATATATATATATTTAGAGGGAAAATTTTGAAATATTTTGAGTATTTTGAACATTTTGCCCCCTCTCAAAAATTTTTTTTGCCCTACTTATATCAATACTAAGCTTACAAAAAATAACTCAGCAGTATTTCTGTGCGGCTTTCATTTTGACCATCGCATCTGGTACTGATAAACTTCCCTGCAATGAGCTGGAGCTCACCGCTAGCCTCTTCTGCACCGAGGATCTCATCTCCTAAAAAGGAGCTCATTAAAGGTGCAGGTAAGGTCTTTCTCTTTCTGCTTTCTCCATTGCCTCAGATTTTCTCGCGACTGACCTTGAGCGCTCTTTTTTTTTTTTGGCGGCCAATCTTATCCGGTAATATGTTTTAAGGAGAAGGAAAGCATAGCCGCCTCAGTGTTAAAGTAGCTCCGTCATCGTCTGCAATATGGGCAGCAACCTTTGCAGGCATGATTCTCGGCGCAATTTTTCTGTGTCGTGCTTCCATTATGTTTGATGAAATGCTTACGTCTACTATTCTTGGCAGGTAGTTTGTTGGCGGTAGATGCTGCAAAAGCTTTGCCAGTTGAGCATATCTTGGTGCTTATTTGTGTCCTTTGTTTGTAGTTTGTGCCGTGATTTCTTTGTATGAGTTCAGCCTAAGTTAATTTGTTGAATCATTCATGCGATACATTTTATATCCAAATCAACGCGAGGACTATTTTATGTGGGGTTTTCTTATGATTTTCTGTAGAAACAAATAATCACAGTGATTTATCTGATTTCTCTCGTTAGTATGGATCTTTTAACATTTGAAATGTATGGGGGTTGTGTGATGAGTTGGCCACATTATGTGAGGTACTATACGCTTTGACCCAATCTATTCATATGAGGCTGAACCTTACAATTTTACTCTTTATGGGGTTACTCCATGGACATCACCATCCTACCAGTTTTAAATGTTAGCATGCTTATTAATTGTGGAATTCTCAAATTAATTTTATATATTACACCAGAAGATGCCTGACATATGATTCAATTGTCACACCTTGGGTTGGAAGATGGTACATCCTGGCAACACGAAACATGCTGAAGGTATAGGAATGTCTGTTTTATACTTACGAAAAGAAAAGTGCATGTACAAATAATATAAACAAATATATCGAAGTAAACAATGGAATAGAAACTGAACTTAATTTCATTATTATAAATTCAAGTAATAATACATCATCAAAATAAAACTACTACAAGCAAAAAAGTTCTCAAAGAAATAACTATGGAAATGAAATTATCCAAACCTCAAAAGTAGCATATGAATAACCTACTACAAAACATAAAAATACCAAAAATCTTCTATGACTAATGAATCTACTCCTATGGTGATGATCCACCTAACACTCATGTTGTTGTACATATAATGAGAAGAGGTAACAACAAATGAGTTTGATAAATCAAACTCAGACAGTAACTTTATCTTTAAAGCATAAACGATAAAGAAATTAGGCATGCATCATGAGCAATCAAAGGGGTAATAGAGACTATATGCCCACAGATAATCGATTTATCAATTGCAGCAATCACACATGACATGATTTATACGTTATGTACTAATATGATGATAATTTTGATGTGTATGATAAACTACCATTAATGCAGTATCAAACAAATTTTTAATCATGCAATCACGTTAGGTACCATCGTATCTTAATATTACTTATAAAATATTTATTGTGTTCAACTTATGTCTATTTGCATATGCATATCTATATATTCATAAATATCTTTAGTTAGTTTTGTCAAATACTTTGCTCTGGGAAAGTAAACACCAACTTAAGCCAATCACTTCCTATAAAGTCATCACCATGTGAGTCCATTGATCCGACTAGCCAAAATTCAATAGGGTTCTATAGACCTACAAACAAGCATACAATGCCTATATTTTTAGTTTTTACAAGTTTCAACATTTATGATATGATCAATATAATTTATAGCAGGAGTATCGTTTATTGTATTTAATAAAACTGATATGTATGAATTAAATTATCTACAACAGGAAACACATTAAATGGATAAGAGCTCATGCAACAAGAGGGTTTTTATTTATTTAAATTTTTGTACTCAAAATTGTCAATGCTAGTCTTAAGCTTGAATAAAAAATGTTGAGGGTTGATTAAAAGTTAATTTACTTTTGTGGGTATTGTGGAGAGAAGTCATGTTTTCAAGATAGGTTGAATTTATTAATGTTTTTAAATTCTGTAAAGGAGCAATCACTAGCATTAGAAGTAGTTTCAGATGAACCATAGATTTACCAATCTCAATAAAAAAAATTCCATTATGAATACTCATTATTTTTGTAGTTGTCATTGAGATGCCTATAGATGGCTTTCACAATGAGATGCCTTTCATATGCTATTTTCCAAAAAATAGAGAGTGCTTTAAAGTAAGAGAAAGATAATGGATAAAAAAAATATTAGAGATAAGGGGTCTAATTTTGGATCCAAAATTGTTTCGAGGAACATAGCCTAGAACTAACTTACTAGAGAAATGAATTGGACCAAGTTGCAAGAAAGATAGGAAAGAGGTCTGACCCCAAAGAATTCCTTTTGAGAATAGTAGTGCAGAAAAACTCTATAGAATTCCTAAGTTCCATAACCAATAGATTTGATTTCATCAAAAAGGTTTCTCGAGCCATTGTTCGAAGTTCCCAAACTGATTTAGGGTGATGACAAGACTCCTTTTAAAGATTTGATTGTCATGTCAATGATCATGATACTGATCTGAAGAATCAACAACTTTGATTTGAAACACAATTTGTATTTTATATTTTGAGCAAATATATTTACAACATTATTTGTATTTTCTTACTTTATAATCCAAAATTAAATTTTTTTGAACAATCCGGCAAAATGATGCTGCACTCGAACATGCACAAGCATCCACTCGCACATCTTTTTACATATATCTGTGTACATAGTATGTATGTAATTGTTTGCATTGTTCTACAAATCTCGGTAGAAATTCTATTCTAAAGAGGTATAGTTTGTGATAACAGCAGGACATCCCCATCCAATTTTTGGGTGACTTAAATGTTGGTGATTGGCTCGGAGGTTTCTTATTTTCTGCTGGGCAACAGGCTAATGTAGCTGTCCAAGATCAGCTATCTTCTCTCGGTGTCACTAGGTTCAGTGATTCACTTCAAGCAGCATTTGCTCATTTTATTGAGATTTAATCTGCGGCCTTTCTGTTCTTTTATTTATTGTCATGTTTCTGGAACTGGTGGTTGCAGTTTGGCGGTTATTTTTGGGGCAGGCCTTGTAACCAGTTTGTCTCCGTGCACACTAAGTGTCTTACCACTGACATTAGGTTACATTGGTATGTAAAGTCAATATAATAAATTTAGTCTTCGTTTGAGACGGCTTTCTTACTGCTTCTTGAAACGACTTTCTAGTAAAAAAAAATTATATTTTTTTGTAATAGAAAGCTGCTTTAAGAAGCAGGATGAAGGCCATCCCAAATGAAGCCTTAGTCAACTGTTCGAATGTGATTGTTGATTTTATTTTGAATCTCATTAAAATATTTCTGTTTTGGCTATTACATTGATGCCTGTGAAATATCTTGCAGGAGCATTTGGCTCTGGAAAAAGTCAAGCTGAGGTAACTACTAGTTATAACATTTCACTTGGGTTTCAGATTTAGTATTGCTCCGGTAAAGTACGACCTACAGTGTTCCTGTGAAGTTTTTTATAGCTGAATGAAATGAACTTTAAATTATTCGAATTAAAAATTGAAATGTTAGGTTGGTCGGCACTCAGCAATTAAAATGCTCCTAGAAAATGGGCATTTGATATTTATTGATTCTAATGAGTCAATCGCAGCTTATTTTCTTCCTATTATGTATATCACTAGATTTGCAGCTCTCCAGCACTTCTCTAGTTTTTTTGTCTCATCTTCCTAATAGTAATGATTTATCATGTTATAACATGAAGTCTTGTAATTACATTTGATTAACTTTTTTTCTATGGGCGTGTTCTTATTTCTGTAACTTTTTTATGCTCTTTTTACATCATCATAGGTCAAGTTATCATTATAATAAATTAACGCACCTTCAACATTTGAATTAATATCTCCCATCTCTTAAATTAAGGCAAGGCCCTTACCTTAATGTTTGATGCGTTAAAGGAAAGATGCTCGCCTAGTGAAAACTTGATAAATGATGCCCACGTGGACTCACATTGTCGATCCCAACCTAGTTGAGCACTTGATTTACCTTCAAAAACAGTAATCTAGATTTCTTATTTGTTGCTTTAACTATTCTATATATCTCCCTTTGTCCCTCTTTAGTACCAAACCTATTATATAAATCATCAATTATTGTAGCTTTTAATTTGGTCATGACACCCTTTGCAAGCCCTTGCCTTTCTTATAATCATCTTAAACATAGCAATATTTAATTTTGTCCACATTTTAAAAGCACACTTCTTTTCCTTACATTTTATACCACTTCACTCCAACACCAAGTTCCTTACAAATTTACGATCTATTTGTAGGTTCTCAAAACTTCTATGACAAACATCTTGGTGAAACTAGCGTCTGGTCCACATTAGGTTTGACTTAACTAAACAATTTCAACTTGCCTTCTGAACAAGCTATCTTTAAAGATTAACGATTTTGCTTCTTTCAAATTTTACCGTTTAATCCTTGGGCAATTATTTTTGACGATTTTTTTTTGATGTTGTTATGATACCACTATTCTACCATGTGTGTTTAATCTCTTCTAGAATTACCTTTCAATATTTGTAGAAGTATTTTGTCTTTCTAAGTAAAATAAGTCTATTTATGATTTTGTGGCTCCTGTTAATATAAATATTATTATCAATTTCTTGATGTGTGTTTGCTCTTGTAAGATTATAGGTTATTGAGAAATCAAGTATAGCTTCTCTCATTATGTTTTAAATTTTCTATTCATCACACTCCATGTGTCATACTTTAAAATTTTGGGAGAGAGTTATGGAGCATAGACTACGTCGTGATACTAATGTTTCTCAAAATTAAATTGGATTCATGCTGGGTAGGTCTACTATGGAAGCTATACATTTATTGAGAGATTTGATGCATAAGTATATAGAGAGAATACAGAGGATCTACATATGATATTTTTTGATTTAGAGAAAGCATGATAAAGTTCCAAGAGAAGTGTTATGGAGAGGTCTCGAAAAGAAAGAGATTAATAATGTTTATATTCAAGTCATTAAGGATGTGTATGCATGAGCTATTGCTTGTGTTTAAACACATGTTGGTTTGACCAAGTATTTTCCTATTTCAGTTGCATTACATCAAGAATCATCTTTAAGCCCATATCTTTTTACTTTATTCATGGATGTCCGTACTAGACATTTTCAAGAGGATGTACCCTGGTTTATGCTTTTTGTTGATGATATTCTTGTTGTTGATAAGAGTAGAGAGGGAGTTGAAGGTACACTTAAATTATGGAGGTCAACTTTAGAGTCTAAAAGTTTTCGTTTGCGTAGATCTAAAATCAAATAGATAAAGTGTAATTTTGGTAGTAATAGATCTAGTGGGGGATTGTGACTTTGGGCGATCAAGTCATTAATAAGAGTATATGTTTTAGATATCTTTGGTCTATTGTCCAAAGTGATGGTGAAATAGATGGGGATATTATTAGTAGAATTCAAGTTGGATGGTTGAAGTGGAGGAATGCATCACGTATCATGTGTGATAGAAAAGTGCCCCTCAAACTTAAGGGAAAATTTTATAAGATGGTGGTGAGACTTGCAATATTTTATGGCGCAGAATGTTGGACATCAAAAGTGAAACATAATATTAAGTTAAGTGTTGCAGAAATGAGGACGATTAGGTGGATGAGTGGCTTTGCTCTTAGAGATATGATACGAAATGAGCATATACGTGAAAAGGTTGGAATAGCTCTAGTGGCAAATAAGATCAGAGAAAGTCACCTTAGGTGGTTTTGTCATATAAAACGGTGGCCTTTCGATTACCCAGTTAGAAGAGTAGATGTATTAGATTTGACTTATGTTAAGAAAAGTAGAGGTAAACCTAAGAAGACTTGGTTGGAAATTATTATAAATGACATTTCTTGATTAGATTTAAATGAAAATTTGTAAAACCCGAAAATATTGAATCGTAGTGTAACGAAACGTTGCGGTGCACCATGACGAAAATAGTCAAAGTTTCAAAGTTGTTGGATTTCGACAAAATAAATTTAATAAAATTCTACGCTTAAATTCAATCGTTTTGATATAAAGAACATAGGGTCAATTTTGCTCGGATTGAAAGTTAAAAATCGGCAAAGTTTTATAAAGGTTAATTATTTAATAGCCCTTATATGTCTTCATGAAATAAAACATGTAAAGGAGCAATATGGACTTTTGGAAAATTCCTAACTGCCTAAGGAGTTAAAGGGACCAAATCTTTTCGGTCCCTACTCATTCGGTCGAACGTGAGAGAGAAAGAAGTGGGGCAGCTGTAAGGCTCCAAGGTGGTGGCTAGGGTGGTTTTTCGGCGACTTTCTTTGGGGGAAATTGAAGAGGTAGACTTAGGGAAGAAAGGGGTGAGTTTCTAAACTTAGATTTTCTATTTTTTACTTGGATTTCATGAGGTGAAAATTATGGGGTTCCACCAAAAACTTAGAAATTTTCAACGAGAATGATAAGGAAAGTTTGGGGATGTATTTTAACCGGGAAAATAAAATTTTTCCCAAATTTTATTAGGTTTCCAAAAAATTACGGTTTTTCCTATTTTTTATTTCTATGAAAATTCTTTAATGAATATTGTTACAAATAATATTAGGAATGTTTTAACGGAAGAAATTAAGATTTTTCACAAATTTTTAATTTTTCTAATTTTTAATTTAAAATAATCAAAAAATGTTTCACTCCTAATTACTAATTAAGTGATGGAGAAGTTTTGACATGCTAATATGATAAAATTAATGCAAATTTTATTTTCAAAATTATGGTTTTAAGCAAAACCGAAAATAGAGATATTTTTTAAATTTTTAGGAAATGGTAAAATGTTAAAATAGGAAAATTATGAATTTAGAAAATATTTTGAATTTTAAAAATTAGGATTTAATTAAATACGAAAATAATTAATATTAAAATATTAATTAATAAAAATGTATTAACTATTATGTTATGAGTTAGTAATAAAGGTGTTCATTATTTTTAGTGTTAGATATCTGAGCAGATATATGCCACATGAATGAACGGTTGCTTATTGAGGTAGATGTTTGTATTTCTCTTAATTTTATAATTCTTATTCTCTAAATGTTAATGTTATGAAAAATGCATATCTTATAGTATTTTTTTTTTATTATTGTTCAGCTGAAAATAACATTTTTGTTCTTTACATACTATAATACAATAAGAAAAGATAGATATTGTAACATGTTTCTTTTAGATCTATTGAAATTCCTGCTTGTAGAAATGTATAAAAATATCAGATTAGATAGACATATATGATTGAATGAATGTTATCATTTCTCTTACGATAATGCATGAACGAATGTGTATGTTTATGCGAAATATCATATGATAAAGACAAATTGTAAAAACAACTGGTAAATGAATATATGGCTCCTCGAAACAGATTGAAAATGAAAACAATGACTAAATTGAATGTGTACCTGATCAGTACAAATTTTGTATACTTCCGTTATGGGTGTATATGTTATAAATAAGAATTATATGCATAAAGAATATTAAGAAAATGATGAAAGAAAGAATGTTATGGATAAGTATTACATACATAAAGAACATTACGAAAATGATGAAAGAATGAATAAAAAAGGCTAATGTTATATGAAAAGAAAAAAAATGGTCATTTAGAATGACATACAAAATAAGCATCTAAGATACTACTTTATAAAAATTGTATTGTTTCTTTTTATAGTTATTTATACACTGTAGTATGAAAGTGATATGCATAATGTATTTTTATTTCCTTTATGAAATTGATAAAAATACATTTTACCTACTGAGCGTTAGCTCACCCAAGTTGTGGGATTATTTTTCAGGAGAACTTGCTAAACAGTGATGACTGATAGAACTCCTTTCACTTACCGTCATAGAGAAGCGCAAGGGGACAGGTTCTTTGTAGATGTTTTTATGTCCTGTGTATTATGAACTCCTTATAGTAGTCTTATTGGTTTAATTTTGTTGTTGTTTTTGATGTATTAGAAATTGTTATAATGAAAATTTAGTGGCTCTTTCTTATTTGTATTTAGATGAATATTTGATTATATTAATTTGAAATTAAAGTTTTAAATAATTACCATACGACGGTTTGTTCTCGTCTCGTTAACTCGAGCTTATCGGGTTGTGTCGTGACAGAATTTGACTTTTAACAGGGCACAATGAAGAAAAAGTGTTACGACTCAGTCCGACAAGCTCGAGTTGACGATGTGGGAACAAACGGTCCTACGAAAAAATTAAAACTTTCATTTCAATATTAATATATTCAAATATTTATCCAAATACAATTAGAAAAGAGCAACTAATCTTCCATTTTCACAATTTTTAATACATCAAAAGTAACAACTTATAAACATAAAACTACTACAAGTAGACCACATTACATAATCCATCACATTATATATAATAACCATAACGAAC